ACAATAACATATATATTATCGTAATTTATCGCAGATTTCAAGTACATAGATATCGAATTTCAAAATTAAAGTTAGCATTAAAATTTGTTTTAAGTATATCCATTAATTTTTTGAAAGCTATGATTATATTAGAACGAGGCTGTTAGTAAAGTTTGAATCTATAGAGTTCGAATGACGTATACAAATAAGAATGTCACTGCATACATAGAGGGCAATATTTTCACTAATCTACCAGTACCCTACTGAAAAAAAAAACATGTTGGGTTAGCTAACCTCTAGGTCAAATCAAGGAGTTTGTTTGCATATAAGGAGAGTATTAATATAAACATAAGACCACAAGGCTTGCACGTGATGAAACGTTTAAGAAAATTACTCAGGAAAAACATCACAGTTAGATTAAATATTTGACAGTACATGAAACAGACATCTATTGTTTATGGGGTCCTTAAGTAAGGTTTTTCTATACTATATTTTTAATGTTATTTTGATTAATAATGTTTTTTAGAATGTATACTATATCTATTGGTTTATGCAGAATTAAAAGCTACCTTGTTTCGAAATAATATATCTTTTTGATTTTATCTCGGTGTTTAGAATAACAAGCTACAACTTACTGAAAGATAAATATTTAGAACAAAAGACACCAATACTATATACAGTATTCAGTAAAACACTATAAGTTGTATTTAATGATTCATATTATGATTGCCTCTAGTATAAAAACGTAAAGAGATAGACGTTTGGGTCAATTACCACAAATTTAGTAATTGGAGTCAGTAAGTATTGACAGTAGTAAATAGTCGAAACAAGAATCGCAGTATTCCAAAACACTACTGAATGCTGTTTGTGTGTTCTTAGGCGCAAAGCTACACAATGGACCATCTGTTCTCTGCCCAACGCAGATATCAGAACCAGATTTTTAATGTTATAAGCCTTCATGTTTTTACTTATTTATTATTAATATAACACATGTTAGACTGTTTACACGCTATTATATGCAAACGTAAGCTTCGGCTTCTGTTTTCAGTTGTACAATACCACAGTTGATGTCCAACAACACAGCAAAACACAAATAACACTTCTTATCTACCTTACAAGTAATTGTGGCAGAATGTTTAACAGTAAAAATCTATTGCGAAGAAGTTTGATTGAATTATTTTTTAATAAAAATGACAAGGCGACTGCGGTCTTTGAATGAAATTAATTCTTCCCTGTTAAACAGATACAGGCTCTTTACTGTAATAAATAAAAACCGTATTAAAGGATTTAATTAAACAATGTTGATAAGAACATACAATATGGAATATTACAGTAGGATTTCAGCATTAAAACAGTACTCGAGCTTCTGGTTATTTTTCATATATTAAAAAATAATACTTTATATCTACAAAACAGCAAGAACAAACTTGGATAGCAACATGAAATTACATAATATGATTTTTCTCTTAGTGTAAACAATAAAAATAGAGAACAAATTTATGAATTAAAACAAATGTTTAGTGCGACATATGAGTCTGAACTTTAGCGACAGTAGACAAAAGGGTTCAGACCAGGGGGGGAAAATAGAAATAACTTTACCAATCTAAAGTTCGTAAGATGTTACAAAGCACCCAGCTAAGCTGTATTTGAATTTATGGTCATTTTACTTAAATGCACATTATACACAAGTTTAAAAACTGAATATGCGATCATGATTTAAAATTCTCTGGCCTGTGCCCATTGTGACACATGATCAAAACACGGTCGTAGTTCCAGATATCTCACTGCTAATTTTGTTCCATAAAATAAAAATAATAAGCAAGAAACTTGACAGAATTCACAGGACAGTTATTCAAGCATCACACGAACATTTAATATGACAGAAAGCAACCCAAACGGTCATTAGTTTGTTTGTTATTAAGAAGAAAGCTACAGGACTGACACCACCGCGGATGAAAATCCGATTTTTAACTTTATAGATCCTTAAGCTTATCGCTGAGCCACTAGGGAGCGCGCCCAACAAACCTGCATGTTCTACAACAATATAATAATATGCCGTAAAAAAAGAATGTTTTAAGTACCAATTTCATGTAAAATTTGGATAATAGATGTTATTGATGACATTAAGTTTTTAAGAGAAAAGCGAAGAGATAGAAAATTAGAAAAGTCTTCTAACCTTTTTCTGAGCAGCACGACATTTTTTTCAACCAACGCGCTAGGCGTACAACTCGGGACTCATTCAACTTCAACCTGTTTGTGTAACTCTTGGTGCTTGTCACGCCCCACCTCCTCCTTCATTGCCATACAACCGCGAATCATGCAAACTTATCTAAGGAAGGGAGGGTGAACAGATTTTAGGGCAGTGAAGTTCGTGGATTTTAAAATTTAGTGGGATAAAAACTAATTGTACTTGCACATATTTGTATAATTTATGAACTGTAAAGGAAGTTTGAAACAATGGCGATAAAATGGAATTCACAGAATCACGAGTAGTTTTACATGTCCAGAACTTTAACATATTGTTACGACAGCGGAGGTCACGTGACTCTAGTAACAATGTCACGCGCTTCTAGAACGTTCATGAAGCGTCGAGAGGTTACTAGATTTCGGTATTTTTGTACATATAAGACGGTCAAGACGTGATGGCAACAATGTGTAATTGAACTGCGGACAGAGAGAGACGTATTGTTGAGCACGTGAGACGTTCGTTGTGAATTATAGCGTTTGTTATAGCGCGTTTGTGGAAATTAAGTGTATCGCAAAGTTGTATTCAGAAAGAATAACCCAGTTTTATTTAAGACAGGAGTTGTATCGGTAAAGTTTGTTCGGAAAGATTTTTTACGGAAAATTAACTAACGAACGGAGGCGTAACAATATATTTCCAAGCATTTCATGAAAAACAAAAAGAGTAAGTACATGCATTATCATTTCATGATTATTAAATATTATTGCATGCTTAAATCATATTAATACATAATACATATGCTATAAATACAAACGAATTTATGCTTTTCAAAATGATGACCTACATATACAAACGAAACTTTAGGTTCTGAAACTTGGCATGAAGGACTTCCCTATCGATATAGTCAGCACTAACAGCATTAGAAAATCGGCAGTAATGTTTAACAAATACTCTTCTGTTTCTTTTGTTCTTCTAGTAATTTACGATCATACTTATCACCAGAGATATGTAAACTGTCATTTTCACTCTGCTCTCACCAATCGTCTTATCAAATATTTCTGTATTTTCATACTTTTTCACACTCGTGCTCCAGTGTTGTCTGCCTGGCAAGCTAACACGAAAATTTAAAATTACGGTATGCGGAAAATGAAAGGAAAAGAAGGGTAAAAATATAATATGATCATTTCGGCACAGAGATAAATTAAACAAACTAAAATTACGCGTAAAACACGGAAAATTAAAGGATTACATTTGAATTCCGGAAATCAAGTGATATCCCTTTAGAGCAGGGGGAGTGACATTTGCACCCTTTGCAACACTCCATATTCGCTCTTTCCACTGTACTTAAGGTAATTAGGGAGAGAATTATTGTGCAAAATATCTTATGAGTTACATCAGCTAAAATCGAAAATTGTAATGATTTTTAACACGCAATTCAAGTAAGATTACATTCTTTATTGTAGGATTTTCTCTTTCTCGAGTCCTCTGGTGGCTGTTAAGCACATAAGATTTAAAGTAAATTCTTTAAGAAATATGTTAAGTTATCTAACCTAGACTACTGAAGCAAGATACAATAAACATAAGAGAAACAAAACTTCAAATATCAACTCTATTTGTGTGATTTTCTTTTCAGTCAATCTCCTCTAAAAATGACTTGACACATTATTTTGGCTTCATGTTGCTAATTTTGTGAAAAAATGATCCGTGGGAAACACTTAACTAACATTTACCAGGATACTTACAAGATACTAACAGCGTTACCCGGCGTTGCCCGGGTTTTCGAAAAAATCTACACTCTCTGTTTCCCCGTTCGATATTTCGATAGGTAAAAAATATTTTGTGAATTTATGACAAAATTCAAACAAACAAAAAAACAACAAACTTAGGTTTGATTTTTGAAAATAAACTACGAACCTGTTTTAAATCAGGGCTTTCTTATGAACGTTATTTTTTTGTATTTCCTTCACTGGCAAGAATAAATAGGCCCTCATGGAGAACATTGAGATTATCTTATACGCGTAGGAGGATCTGTTCTGGCGAACAGGATAAGCCTAGCTCTGTTCTCCCCATCCCCCGTCATTCCTCCACAAATATTAAAATTTCAAACGTAAATATGTATATAATATTATGTTGAATTTGCTTTAATGTAAATCTTATTTTTATGAAAGTGATACGGTATTCAACATGACATTGATGTATGAAATATACTACAAACAAAATGCAATATTGTACTTTATAATGTATCAAAAGAAAAAAAAAACACTTCCAGGTATCGAACCACCCGGAGAAAAAAAAATAGAATAACATATATTCGCTGACTTGACTTTAAACTCATTCTACCCAATAAGTATTGTAATGTAAGCCTTACTCTTTTTCACGTAGTCTATTTTAGTCTTTATGGTAGACAGCATAATTTTATTTTATAGACCAGGCCTACTGTTTGCTTTTTCACACACAACATTTTAATTCAGCATACATTTCTTTTCTGTGTGAGGTCAAATATATGATGTATTAGTATATTATATTGATTGGATTTCATTACTTGTTTACAGATTCCGGGATGTGATACCAGACATGGATGAAAAATAAAATGAATATGTATGAAGCTAAGTGCAAAGATTTGAATAACTGAAAATAATCCAGTTTACAGTGTAGTTCTTTAAATTTTAACATTTTTTTTCAGTGAAACAAAAACATTCACACAACAGCATTAGTTTAGGTTTTACATTTCATATATTTACATAAGAAAATGTAGTGTTTTGACAATGTATTGAATTTTTAAAAAACACTGAATTATTATTCGGATCATTGTAATATAAACGGAAAAAAATTAAAATTAAAACGGAAAGTAGGAATCATTGGTTATTCGTAAAATTGCTATAAGAAGTATCCCAAAGAAAATATATGCTGCAACAAAAATTACACAAATAAATAATGTGACACTAGTTGGATATATTATAAAATTATTTTTAATCCCTACTTTGGTTGTCATTGTGATCCATATAGCTAAATGAAAATGGTTTTAAAATCTATCTAATTATTATAACTTTACTTGTTTGTGAACTTCTTATTGCAGCATTTATTTTGTTTTGGATACTTCTTATAGTAATTCTACGAATAACCAATGATCCCTACTTTCCGTTAAAATGTTAATTTTTTTAAATAGTTATTTGTCCAATTTTTACATATCCAAGAAATGGACACAACATCTATAAATTTTCAGTATAGCCATATCCCTGATAGCTAAAAGTTTTTCAAGAATTAAAACCACAATCACAAATTTATAAAATGTAATCATTACTTTGGCCTACTGATAAGTGTATAAAGATACCAAAGTAGGGATTAAATTTTCTAAATTTATTATTTTAGTTTTAATTCTTGTTTCATTATGTTTTGTAGCAGAATCTCTACTTCATTTTTAAAAAGCACAGTTTTTAATATTCTTTTTTGTTTACTTTTTATGTTATACCTTTATAAAGTATATGCTTTACCTTTATAAATTGTCGCTTGTCTATCAATTGATATGTAGCACCATCTGTTGGTTTGAATTGGGTATAAAATATATTAAAATACGATCATATTATGTGTACAATTTATAAAAAAAAAAATTGTTTATATTTATCGGAATATCAAAAACAGATACACACAGACCAGTCAAGTAAGCTGAATAAATCTTGTAACAATAGTCCGAGCCATCTAGGGGCTAGCTTGTTACGTATTACAATTTCAAATGGTCTGAAATTGAGTTAACTGATAATTTAAGTTTA